GAGAGAAGGAAAATATTGTCTTTCCATCTCCGGTCAGTAAATGCAACTATGACGGGTTTTTTCACAAGTCTTTAAAATTGAAATTAATGTTGGAGGTGTAATTATAAAGCTGTATAAAGTTTCGTTGCCATAATTTCTACACAATAATGATACAGAGGTTTACGAATGTGGAAAATCAACCGATGTAGCCATAATAAAACAGAAATACTAGATAATTAGTTAGTCGATCCGATGAATTTTGTACTTAAGTGACATGGCTTATAAGTTCATCTCAAGGATATCCGCAGCATACTAATTTTTTGAAGGTTTATATCCGGAAATGATCAACAAACTCGCTGTAACTGTAGGTGGTGGGACATGAGAAGTGATAACTAAGTGATAAGGTACATTTCCAAAAACACCTCGTAGTTCACAATCTTTGATGACGAATAACTGATGATAAGAGGCAGCTTCTACGGGCAAAATCTTTAAAAATTTGGAAGTTTTCTATTGTTTCGTCAGAGCTAAACAAGAAGTAGATGTAATTTCCTCAGATGAGAAGGATAACAAACCTGGAAAAACAGATCTGTGGGGATTCTAAGAAGCTTCACTGTACGATATGCCACTTTGTCAATAAATGTCTTTGGAACATGATGCTTATTTAGATCAATTGATACATCGGCCCGGTAAGTCTCCCATGGCTGCAAAATGGAAACAAGAGAACACTGATTAAGGTTGTCAACAATATAGTGTTCCTATATTATAACGTTACTGTGACTAGTTGGTCTAATAACTGAATCGACATCTTGATACAACATCAAACCTGCAGAAGCTATTGTAATTAACTCATAGTACGCACAGCAGCAAGTTGGAGTGAAATTTTATTAACTGGAATCCAACTCTTAGTATGGATTTAAAATAATAAACAATTTTAGTGTATATTTTCAGAATAAAACTCACACTATTAAGATATCACATGACCACCCTTCTCTGCATAGCCAAATGCGTGTACCGTACGTTCTGGGTATATTGTGTGCATCCAAAGAAGTGTATGCTTATATCATAGAGGCAATGATGTTAAACATAAAGTGTAATACAATCTCCATTCTGGAATCACCTTTTGTAGAAGGTCAGACAAATTGAGTGATATCATAAAATGACTTAAATATCCTTATATGAGTCTAGTCCATAGATGTTTTTCCAATACCTTACTCACAGTCAAGGTTTTATATGAGAGTAGTTAAATAAGGGCAATCATTAAGGGAAGGTGTTTTAATCTGAAATTGTACAATGAAAGAAGTCGTTGTTTTTATTTTTTTTCTTCTTCAAAAAGGTAAGAAAATTAATATCTGAATTAATAAAATATTGTTTCCTATAGATAACATTATTTCGTTATGATCATAATATGGTTACACATTCTAAATAGAATATTGCTCCAAATATTATGAATGAAATTTGAATAAGCCCTGCAAGAATTCCCATATATTCACAAGTTGATCGTGAAAAAAGAGAAGTAAAAGGCCATACCCAAATTTCCAAATGCCAAATGTGACTCATGTTTCCGAACAATTTCATACATCACATGCTATTCAAAAATGAAGCAAACAAAAATAAATAAATAATAAAGCCAATGTCCTTGCATAGGTCAACCCCAAAGATGACTACAGAGCGCAGTTTCATAGCCATTGCCTTCCAGCTAACTGAAAGAGCTTGGCGGCATAAAATTTGCCGATCGAAATTCAAGCAAAATTTATACCTATAATAACATAATTACACGGTCGAAGCAAATAAATCACACAACGAGCTTCAACTATAACCACCAAATTACGCCCAAACACAATACCCTCCTATTTTATGATATCCTGGAATCCTGCTGGCAACTTTCACCATCCTAAAATTCAGATCATCACACCGAAAAACCCAAGGCTCGACTCAAACTAAACATCTAGCTTAATAAAACAGCAGTTAGCACCTACAATCATAGGTCGATTATGCAAGCAATCTGGCAGTAGTATATATATCTCATTCTCAACATAAATCAAAATTAATCAAACCCAAACACACAGGTGCACAAAACATGATATCTAAACAGGGATAGAAGGTGAAATCACCATGAAACAATTCCACGGCCACTCCGTACCGTCCTCTTTGGTGATTTTAGGCCTCGAGATTCCCCAGTAGCTCGACACCGCCACATCGCCTTTCTCCGCCTTTCCCGCCGCCACGCTGTTGCTTTTGTCTTCCTTCTCCACCACCGCGGACGTCGAAGAATGCTCCGTCTCCGAGCTCATCATCCGCCTCCACCCGACCAGCACCGTACTCGACCCCCGCGGCTCCGCCCCAGCCGACGCGCCAAAAGGCGCCAGCGCGCGGATCCCCGCCGGCAAGGACGATGAAAAGTCTCGGCGGCGGGTACTTCCGGCGATCAAACGCCTCACCACTGATCTTGCCATGAAGTGGTTCATAGTCGTAACTGTACACAGAACAGAGTTCAACTTTGTAGTCAGTGGTCGGAGTGTTCGGGAAATTGATGGGCGGCTTCAAATACAGTATATAGGAGAAGGTATGTTTGTGTAGTGTTGGTTCACCTGGACCGAAAACTTATAGGAGGTGGATAAGGTTCATGAGATGACGTGTTGATGACGTGGGTATCCATAAGAGCATCCACAATGCTTTGGGTCTCTTGACAAAAAATCACATGTCATGTAAGAAATAGACCTAGTCTATAAAAAAATGTTTTTCAATGCAATTAAAAGTGGACATGGTCTAGCTTATGTGGCAATAAAAAAAAAGAGACTAAGTCCACAATTGGGTCTATTTTGGACCCAAGTACAAACCCAAACACTAATTATTTATTCCTACTTTAATTTTTCTTTTAATAAAAAGAACATATTAGTGTCATTTTTATTGGTTGACATATATGCTAGACCTAGTATTTTTATTTTTGCATTGCAAAGTTATTGAAGTTTTTTACTTGGGTTTGTCCACGTTATTTAAGACTCAAGTCCAATTATATGCCACATATACAAAAAGAAACCCAAAGCATTGTGGGTGCTCTAAGAGGAGCTCGGATATATAAGGAGCTCGGACAATACTGAGCTCAACCTACGTTAGGGAGGGCATTTGATAGTTGGTAGATGACCTAATTAGGAAGTGGGTTGACCTACAGAAGAGGTCGAGTCCAAGTTATCCACGAAGGCCACGTGGAAGGTCGTGAATGAGCTTAGGAGATTAAATAGAAGCGCTCGCTTAGTCAGGTCTCATCGGGGTGACGAGTATTATGAATCCGTGCGATTTTTAGCCAAACACTTCCGTGAAAGGAAGAGATTGAAGAGAGAGTGGAGATAGAATTAGTATTAGTAGCTTTCGTAGGGCGTCAACCGTCATAGATAGCCAAAACGTGAAAGGGATAAACGATAGGATGGATAAGAATAAAAGTCAAATAATTAACGGGTAGATCTAGGGGTAGCCTAGAAGCTGACGGATAGCTTTTTCGGGCAGAAAGGGCAGTCTGGCAGATCTTTCGACATGCGAGCAGGATAGAAGCTTGTTCAGGAAGCTAACAATCTTATATAAATAGATAAAATTCAGAAAAGGTAAAGGTTAATCACTCTATACACTCTAAGCTTCAATATATTTTCCGTACAGCTTTTCATATCACCTTACTGACTTGATCGTCGGACGTTTTAACGCTGGGAACATCTCCCCACGTCTTTGCAGGCCTCTGGGAGCAAATCGGTCGAGGGGTTGTGGAGAGCCGGTTCGAGGTGCAACTGCTCATCAGTATGCATACGAGGCATTTTTTTCACTTTTTAATGTGCCACATCATTCAAAATTTCAATATTATTTCTATGATCAATTTATCAAAAAGATCAGTTTGATTAAAATTTGATAATGTGCACAATTATGTCACATTCGAGCTTCACTGAGATTTCAACTGATTGTATTCCTCTCAGTTTTGTTTGGTTAATAATGTACATTAGTAGTCATGTTTGGTTAATAATGTATATTGGTATGTATTCACCTCATTAAGTATTCTCTTGTTTGGTTGAGAATATATTTTTTTTGTAACATTTTAGTATATATATGCATAGTTTTTATTTTGGTTGAGAATATATTTGAAAGAATAAAATATAGTTTCCACTGTTAACCCAATTTTCATTAGTAAGCATCCAAAAAATAATAATTAAAAATAAAACATCGAAATAAAAAAAAAAATAATAATATCAAGTCTCAATTTTCAAGTCACTTTCAAGTAAACAATATTAAATGCGAGATTTACAATAATTCACTCACTACAATATGAACTAAGAGAGTCATATATACGTTCTCTCTTCACATGTAAGAACAATAACAATAAGGCTTTGAGACACGCATTTTTAATTCATGATTGTTTTTATTTTTTTATTCCCACATTTAATTACAAAAACGGTCACCTTAAGTCACCAATTCAAATATTCGTAACTCTCAAATTCCACCTTGACTTTCGTTTCGCGCACCGTTGTGCAATAGATTTTTCAAGTACAATACTTGACATAAAATGAAAAATGTTAAATACACACCTCAGCATCAAAGTGTCCAGCACGGCTACCATGTATACCGGCGCGTGTGTACCTACTCGCTCGAAGTTTTGTCCCTTCTTCAAATACTGGTCGATCCTACCGACATAGTCGTTAGACTTTTTTCCTGCCATTTCTCGCTTTTGGGTCAGAATCGCTGGTTCTAGGCAAGGGTTGGAGGGCCCTGAATCGGCCCGAACATATGCACGAGTCGGTTCAGTGAACTGTCGGTTCCACACCGGCCCGTTACAATTAAAAATATAAAAATTAATAAATTTATTTTTTATTAGAAAAAAAGGGCCAAAATGCCGGTTTCGGTTCCGGTTCAAAATCGGCTCGACAGTTTGAAAACTAAAAATATGTGATCCAAAACCAGTCCGGTTCAAGGCCCATTGACCATGGACCGGTTCCGGACCGAACTGACAGGCCAGATCGGCCCGTGGCCATTTATAGCTTGCAGATGGAGTTTAAGGGATTAGGCCGCAGAGATTCTGCCCCGAGAGGTCGATTCCGGTGATGAGACCATCGAGAGAGTAGGTGATTTCAAGAAATTTGCTCACAAACAAGGTCGATTCTGTTCATAGAAATTCTTCAATGGTGCCTTGGTGCGGATGAACCCTTCCTTACAGAAATCTTCGACGAAATGAAAAAATATGAAAACGTCTACCCTTTTGTGCGAGGGTATTTTTTAATTTGTGTGAGGGTATTTTTGTAAATGACTAAAATCTCACTTTAAGAGGAATATGGTATCTCTTATGAGGGGTCGGATGTGATGTCTCAAGTTTTAGGAAAATTGGACCGGCTCTGCAAATTTCAAGGGGCAATTTTAAATGAACCACATACATTAAACTTATGGAAATAAATGGCACACAACACCATTTCAATGGTGACATTCGTTTAAAGAAAAAAAAAAGATGTGGGTTCCGCAAGCTCCATTTGATGGACTGAATGCCATACACGTTATAAATAAGTTGGAAGTGGGTTCCATATATATTTACATTTTTATCGATTAACAAATGTGAAAGATTGGTTAAATATGTAAACATGATGTGGATGCGAGAAATAGCGGTGAGTGTTTAAAGGAATATAAATGGATGCAGATGCCTTAACCCTCTAATAATAATAAATCTCATAAACCTACATAAATGCGTCTTACATTTTTTCACTTCTAATTAAAATTATAATTTTATATTCTTAATTTTATTTCAAAATAAAACTTCATTTATTTAATTTGTGCTAATCAAAATATTTTTCATTATTTATAATTATGGCGTTAGTTATGTTTCAAATTTTAAAATTTATTACACAAAAGAAATATGAAACCTAAAAAATTACAAAGTGTTGAAAACCATAATTCAAGTGCACATTTTTTTTTTTAAAAAAAAAATACTACTCTTGGGAAGTGGGTTCATTCTAAACCAACTATGCACAACCAGTCGTGTCGAAGTAGATGATGGACTTGTTTGTCTTGCACTTTACCTTTTATCTACAAGTAATGTCGAAAATTTGTAGACACCCCATCGCATGTCTACATTGTGGTTTTCCATCTATATTAGACCAATTGATTAGCTCTTCGTCTTCGTCTTCAATTGTCATATTATGTAAAATGATACATGATAACATAATTTCACGTAGATTTTCATTATACCAAATATGAAAAGGACCAAGTGCAATTGCCCACCTTGATTGGAGGACCCCAAAAGCACGTTCAACGTCTTTTCTTGCAGCCTCTTGTCTTGGCTTGAATTTATTTTTCTTTTTGGTTCCTTTAGACATTTAAAGCTTTTGACAATGTAGTGCATTCTAGATAGATGTCATCTGTTAAAGAGTATCATTTTGTATACTTGGTTCCACTAACCACATAATTGTCCTCAGGAGATACACCATGTAGAACATCACTGAATAATGAAAATTCATGAAACACATTTATATCGTATCGTGATCTCGCAAGTCTAAAAAATGTGTTCATGATCTATAAGTCTTCTGATGCTATTACTTCAAGCATAACCGAGGATGCCCTATGATCCCCTTGAGTGTATGAGTTGTGTCATATAATAGAATAATTTTTCACTTCTAATGCATACAATCTAGACTTCTTAACATGCCAGGAAAACCATGTTTATCCTCATGTAATGTATGTATTCATTGGATGTCAGTGTGTCACTGCATTAGGAGGTGCAAATCTAGGTGCATATATGTATCACATGTCACAACAGAACTCGACAAACTTCTATTCGCAGTCTACTCTAACATATGAAGGTGTTCGTCACATTTGATTGGTAAGAGCTCCATATGCTAGTTGATGTAGAACGGCAGTACACTTCTGAATTAATGTAGTAACCAGTCTTCTAGTCGATCTTATCTAAACTAGAAATGATCAGAGTGATTTTGGACATCCTGAATGATCTGGCAAAATAATTGTTTGGATATTTGAAATCTTCGATGAAAGTATCCTTTATGATATATGGAGTTGGCAACAAAATAATATCTTATTACTAGGACATGGGTCAGCTTCGCGGTTTCAAGGCACTTCTTAATTTCCTTTCACGCCTATTTGAACTTTCAACTTGCTCAAATTGTTGGAACTGTGTAACTACGACTTCCATAAAGCAAATCCGGCTTGTACAAAAGAAATGGTTTTGAGTACATTTGCTAGTCGTAGATTACGTATCTAAGTGGGTTGGAGCTATTTCCACGAGGACATGTGATGTTAAAATTGTGATTAAGTTTGTACAGGGTCACATCTTGAGCAGGTTCGGGTTCCTTCGAGCAATTATGAGTGATGGGAGAAGCACTTTTGCTACAAATTCATGCAAATTAATGAAAACATTGCATATCCCACAAACTTTCTACTCCCTATCACCCACAAACTTTGGGACAAACCAATATGAGCAACAAGCATATCATGACTATCTTGGAGAAAATGGTGAACTCGTTTAGGACATATTGGGCAATCAAGCTCAATTACGCGGTATTGGCTCAGGCCTCAGTGGACCACTTATAAAAGAGTCTTCATAATAAGTCTGTTTCAAAAATTGGTGTACTATAAAGCATGCCATCTTATGATAGAGATCGAACACAAGGCATTTTGGGTCATTAAGAAGGTATATTATGATCTGGATGCTACCGAAAAAGAATGGTTGCTACAATTCTCGAAACTCGAGAAATGGAGAAATGATGCCTACGAGAACTAAAACATTTATAAGGATAAGGTCAAGAGACTTCATGATGGAGCTATTGTCCGAATTAATCTCGTACCTGAAGTAATAGTTTTTCTCTAGAATTCACGGCTCCATATTTTTTTCGTGAAAGGTCAAGTCTTGTTGGAGTGGACCATATGTTATTGACGAGATGCTTTCTTTTGGTGTCGTTCGACTTCACAATTCTGCGAATGACGACTTATTTGTGGTGAATGGATAAAGAGTCAAGTCGTATGTATAAGGGGAAATAAGAAATCAACGTGTCGAGACAGCTAGTCTCATCAAACATATTACCAGTGACTGGGAATTCTTGATGCCTAGCTCCCGGAGTAAAACCTAGCATTTCGTGGGAGGCAACCCACCTTCTTCAATTTTGTAATTTAAAAAAAAAAGGAAAAAATAATTAGATGTGGCCAAACAGGCACTCAAAAGCAATCCCAGTCAACACATCTTCCCAGAACCAGGCGCGATGGACCACAACATCGAGTGCACAACTACCCGTTGCACACTACTATCAACCACTTCTGGGTTGTGCATCCGCGAGAGACATCGCACCACACGATGAGCATACCCTTGCACATGCAATGCCATAGGCGTATAAAAAGAAGGTTGCAAACAAAAAATGGTCATCTCCCTCATTTTACAACCTAACTCAAAAAATTCTCCAAACCCTCACCTGAAATTGCATCTACCACCTTTGGACACTGAGTAGCGACCAAGTTACGTCTTTCCAGCAGCCATCCTCCATCTTCTATTGACTACCCTCCGTCCGAAGAAGATGTTTCCAGCACAACATTCCTCCGAAAAACTCCGTTTATTCCAGGCTCTTCAACATTCATGGAGGCGAACATCCTCTTTTAGGTACTTGAGGCGAACATCCCCTTTTAGGTACTTGATAACTCCCAGAGATGGAATTTGGTTACGTTGTTGAAGTGAGAAGAACAATTGTCGAAATCAATCATCTATTGGTCCTTTAATCTCCTACAACAAATCCCCATGCACAAGGTGTTCGATAAACTATTTCAACGGGGTTTCCAAACCTAATAAAGCTCACAACCACCAAGTGTTCGAAGAAATTACTCAACGAACATGCCGAGAGCTTCAACTTCCAGGGCAACCCGTTAATCCATGGGCAAGGCCATTCAACCCGACTTACCCTCTTTTTCGGACACCTACTCTACTTTGGGTCACAAATCGAAGGAAAATCTCAAGACTTGGCCAAGGAGCACGACATTCATTTTCCATAGACATGGCCACAGGTCGGTTTCAAGGCGATTCCAGTTTGCATTTTATATAAATTAGAACTGATCCGACTGTATGTATATGTCGGTTCAAAGAACCGAGAACAGAATTGGTGGTCCTTTGCTTTACAAAAAATATTGAAGGGGAGAGATGGATATAGAAAATTGGACTTGAGCTTAGTTGACATGTTATAAGTTAAAATATCACTTAAGTTGAAATATTTTTAGTCAAAAAATAATATTTTAACTTAATGTCAATTAAACTGTCTACACATCCCTTACGTTGCGAATCAAAGCCCTCGTAGTTTGCGTACCTTACTTACCGTGATGAAAGAAGATGGCAGGATCCCTTGAACGATCTAGTAATCATAGTTGTAATCACCATCTTCGGTATTTCCCCATTTCACTAGAACGAGCAAATCTTACAGGCAATCAATGTCATTTTAAATGAAAATAAAAAATAAAAATTCAAAATATACTTAAATTTAAATAGAAACTCTGATTTTTTAAATATTTGAATATAATTTTTTAATTAACACATGTTTAATACACAAATGTTGTATCATTATTAATAATTTTTTAAATAATAATTTTTAAAATATATTTATAATTTAAGTTAATAAATATTATGTAAGTTTAAAACTGAAATTGATAGAATTTCAAATGTACGAGAGCTATGAAAAATTAGATATCGTTATATTGGATTAAGAAATTTAAAAAATTAACATATAAAATTACAAAAAATTGAGAACTCATCAACCTTTATATTTATATAGAATGGTGATGATTTTTCCCTACTATGATTTAACAAAATTTATATTTATATAGAGTGGTGATGATTTTTCCTTACTATTATTTAACAAAATAATTATATTTATAAAGTGAAATCTCCCATTAGGCAGTTACCCGTTCCTTTCAAATTTCCTAGTTTTATAGCTCTACCAAACAATGCCTCGCCGGGAAATTTACTGTGTTTCATTTGGTTGTGCGCCAGATGTGCCTATCCAATTGGTTAGCCCTGCTGACTTTACTTTAAAACTAACCTCCCCTAGCGCACAGCGCAGTGCATTTTCTAGTATAATCCGACTCAAATGGCATTATAATTTCTTCCCCTCTGTTCTTCTCTCTTGTGTGTGTTTCTGTTTGTGTATATCTATCTTTATTACGAGCTGAATTGAAGAGTATCTTCCGCTCTGACACAGTCATCCATGGCAGAAGGCGGATCGTTCGATCTAGGGCACCGGTTGGGTAAGGTTTCTGTTCCTTATATCTATAAAATCACTGTTTTTAGTTTGTTGATTTTAGTTGGGACGGAAGCTCAATTCGCGTTTGAAACTCCGATTTGATCAATTGTGAGAGGAATTCGAAAAAAGAGTAGAAACACTAATAATCTATTAGGTGATGATACTCATTTGTTTGATTCTGCATGTGCGGCCTGTGGTCGTGATTCGAATGTATTATGAATTATGGATTTCAGTATAATTCTTGGAGAATCTTGTTCTTCTCGCTATCGTGCATATGTAGCTATCTCTCAAGTCATGTAATTCTTATACCAGCCTAGAATAAGGGAAGATGATAGGCTTTATTTTCTCTTAGATTTTTGTACGCGAATCTGTTGGTAGGGGGCGCCCTACAATGAGTTATATATGCAATTGAAAGCAGGGCAATTATTTTTTTTTTCTTTTTTTCTGGAATGGTTGTAAATAATAGTTGGGAAGCACCACCAATTCAATTTATTGATTTATTCATATTTCAGATATTAAGCATATACTATCAGAGGCCAAGCATCGGTGGCTGAGACCTGCTGAAGTTTGTGAAGTTCTCAGGAACCAAGAGAAGTTTCATATCTCCGCCGAGGCTCCAAATAAACCAGTTAGTATGTCTTGATTGCCTGCTCAATTTCACCTTTTATGAAGAAGTTCGAATTGCAGCAAATATTATGATCTTATCATAAATTGCNTTTGCATGTACAATGAAAATCTTTTATCTTTTCGTATAACGAACAATGTGGCAAGGAACCATCTAGCCTAAGAACATCAGCGGTGTTTCATGCAAGTTTTACAAAGATATAAGGTTAATACACAGTGAATTTCTTAGGAGCATGGGGAAAATTTTCTCGCAAGTTATGTCGTTATGCTTTTCGAACTTGCATGAAAGTTTAAACAAATGAATACTGAATATTCATCCTCCATTCCACCTTTTAGTGCCTTCTTAAAAACAGTTCCACCACATGCTCATTGTCATTCTTTATTCATTTGTCCTGTTGTCTGGAGGCAGGTGAAACATTTTTCTTTTAATCATCGATCCATATATTCACTGAACTTTTTGATTGTCATTTTTTCATCATAAAACTAGTTTGGGGACATTTAAAAAATATATGCTATATGGTTTCCTGTACGTGATTTGTTTTTCAACAATATAAAAGTTAATGGTTTTGCTTGTAAGTTTGGAAAAGAATCATGTTTTTTTGTCCAAAAAAGTCCGTTATAACAGTATTTTTTCTGATTGAGTTGCCCCTTCCCATTAGAAATTTATCATCTCCACCATCAGAAGGCTGCCATGTGAAAACAGCAATAGTGACTTGTTTTGCGCAAAAATAAAGGAAAGAAAAGAAAAGTTTTGGATATTTTTGCCAACTGCCAAGATAAAAACTCGTGGAAAATTTGCAATTTTCGGTTAGGCCTTGATATTAGCTGCAATTTGACCTATAAAGAAATAGATTCCATTGAAGAAACCAATCAATAGATAGTGGTTTTGTTTTTCCTGGTTGTATGCTGTGTAATATGTAGGTCAAGATAATCAGTAACATATCCATCTTGTATGAATTTCTTATGTCAGAGTGAGATTGCCTTTAAATGCGAACTTCTCACTTTTTGGCATCAAGACTGATTGGATTTGCGTTAAAAACTTATTGGTGGTATCTTAGTTCTTATTTTAATATTTTCGGAAATATATTTTATGGTTTGAGTTTCATGTTGGAAGCGTTTAGAAACTTATATTAATAAACTAATCGACTTCATAGTGCATTAAATTTTGCTTTCACTTTGCACAAAATTATTACTTGTCTTCCTCTCTTTATCTAGGCCCTTCGTCAGTCATTATTTTTTTGTCCATTCTCGTAAAATTTGCTGTTCCTATGAGCCAGTTCTTTAAGTTACATAACTTTTTTCCTAAAACCGGCTTCTGAGAATGTACCAGATGCTTGTTCTATTCAAAAGGTAATGACATGGTAACTTAATCTGACTGCACATGTCTCCAAGTGTGCATGTTGTGTGATTATTCCTTAGCCTATCAAGTTTTTTGAAACATGTCAAGTAAAGGAAGGAATTTTGAGACCTTCTGTTTCCAATCATAGTCAATATATAATGCTTCCTGAATGTGCTCTGCCCAGTCTGGGCCAAGGATAGGTACTGTTATTGTACCAAAGTTGTTGTTCGAGGTTGTATTTGCAAGTTTCTATATATTTGGTTATACTCCCAAGTTTTATGGCTGTTTTCCATCATTGATGAACAGGCCCATGAAATGTTCAATATCGTGTGATACTCCCAAGTTTTGTGATAGGGACAGTCTTTGTGTTTTCGTTCTCTATTTATTATTTAAGAATATGCTCGAGCTCCAATCTTAATTTATAGAGTGAATGTTTTTTATCCTTTTGCTAGTGTTGTGGCTTGTAGCCAACAACTTCCAGTCTTCAACACGTCGCTGGTTATCTGGATTTTACCATTATCCACTCCAGCAACTCAAAAAGTGCCATTTCCTATATAAATCATTGCACTTAACATACTTCCCAATACCATATCCTATATGAATACAAGAATATCAGTTAATGTTTTTCTTTTGAATTGTTATTATACTATATCCAGGTTGAGTTTTATTTACCAATCAATTGAGGAATAGACCATCTCTTTAGACTACTAACTGCTTCTTCATATATGTATGGTGTTTTAAAAAGCCATGCTTAAGCATTGATCTTTCTTGGAGGAGTTTTACTGATTAAAGCAACTTCTGTGCCCTTTCAAGTTTGAGTTATCTACTAAATTAGTTCTGCATACCCCTTTCTCTGCTAAAGTTTTCCAAGTACGTCAAGAAGTCGGATGTGAAGTAGAAAATTGATTTTGTTTCTTGTTTAATGTTGGAAGACAGTACCTGATAGCTGTATATTTGAAGCACTTATCTCAGCTATCATATGTGAAGCATGTATACTTAGGTTGAATTGCAGGAATAGTGCCTGCAAAATCTATTTCTTCACCGTCTATTTGGTTTTAGCACCTGTATATTCTTTCAAAGTATTGTAGAATCTCTTGTTAACTGGCAATTGTTTTCTACAAATCAATGATTCTTCTCAGGTGGTTCCGTGTTTCTCTTTGATCGTAAGGTGTTGAGGTACTTCCGGAAGGATGGACATAATTGGAGAAAGAAGAAGGATGGGAAGACTGTTAAGGAGGCCCATGAGAAACTGAAGGCAAGTATGAATGGCATAGTATCCAACAAAGGTTCTTCGAGGGCAACTTTTCCTTAACAAAGCTTTTCCGCTCTTTAATTTCTTGCGAGAGAAAAATCAATAGTATGCTTCTTATATTTTTTGCATCTGTTCTTGGCTTCTTGCTAGAGGTTATATGCATTCTCTTTTATCGCAGGTCGGAAGTGTTGATATGCTGAATTGTTATTATGCCCATGGGGAAGATAACGAAAATTTTCAAAGACGCAGCTACTGGTTGCTTGAGCAGTAAGTGTAGGCTTTTTATCTTTTGTTTACTCCAAACTTGTTTGGTGCATCATAGGACTTGCTTTTGTGCTTTACTGCTACGGTTTTCCGTAGCTCTGTCAGGACTCAGCTCATTGAAATATTTTATTTAAGTTCTTTATCTTTTTCTCTTGAATTTTGTTTGATGCACCAATATGTTTGATTAATTGTAGATGAGATCATCTACAGATTTCCTGGCTCCCCTGCATGGCTTGATTTTATATGATTATAGATATATTGTTTTCTAATTCTACGAGAAGTTACGGGTCATGATAAGTAATATGAGGATTGAATGATTGAATCTATGTATATATATATATATGTGTGTGTATGTGTGTGTGTGTGTGTATAAATTTGTATTTACCATAAAAAGTTATAGTTTCCCGCCAAAAATTATTGGTTACTTAATAACATTTTCTTTAATATTTTTTTTTTCTATTTTCTTTTGATAACTTTTACTTTATCAACAATTGTGAGTCTTTTATTTTTATTTGAGATAATGTGGTATTAATAAATGATCTAAATCTATTGGTTAACCTTTCTAGATTTTTTTAGTAAATTATTTTATTTCTACCTACTCTATTTTATTTTTATCTTTAGTGATTTAATATCAATAAGTTGAGATTAAACTTCCATTCTGTCGAACTATCCATGTGAATTATTATATTAGAAAGAGAAAATAAAATATTTATAATCTATATGTTATAAATTATTTTATAATCTATATGTTATAAATTATAATGATAACCACAAAAAGTCATTTGTCGAACAACAATGTAAATTATATGTTTTGAAAAACAAAATACTTGCAATGTATATTGTTATAAATTATAATGATAAATCAACTGGTGTCGAGCTATCATATGAATTATTATATTAAAGAGAAATTCAAAATAATTATAATATAAAAATAATAATTTTAATGTAATTAAGAATTAGTAAATTTTAACTTTAAAATTAGATACACTACATTCTTTCTAATTAAATGTCAGTTTATAATATTTACCACAATTTTTCAACTTTATCATCACTTATTTAAGAATCGAAATAATATATTGTTATAATGTGTGATAAGGGGGAGAGAGAGAGAGAGAGAGAGAGAGAGAGAGAGAGAGAGAGAGCAGTATTTTTGTAAGTGTTTATTGATAATGTTTCAATATGTGAAACTTTCATGTTCCTTAATTCTAAACTGGAACTTAGCGTGAATACTATTATATATCATAAAAATAAGTGAAATAATAAAAAATAGTATTAATATTCAAAACTATTTTTACACTAATCAATATTGCTTCATTACTTTAATTTAAACGAATTATTAGGCAAAATATGACAAAGTTATGATGCAGTATTGTATTCAATCCTGGAAGTACTAATTAATGAGGAATTAAACTCTTGGAAGATTAATCACATATACTGCATGTGAGTTTTTCCTTGTTATCAGCATTTTTATTTGCCTGGAATAAAGAGTGCGAAGCTACAAAACCTATGATGGAGCATATATGTTGTCTTGAATTTAGTTTTGTAGTCCAGATTCATTACATGCATCTTGTAATAATTAGAGTCATTCACAAAATCTGCTCTAAGCCTCAAGTTCAAGGTTTGTTTATTTAAGCACTGACGACTGCTTCTTTACAAATGACATGTGAATCTTAATCAGTCGAAATGAATAATGAACTCTTACCAAGTTTTCTAATTATGCAGGGATCTCATGCACATTGTATTTGTCCACTACATGGAAGTCAAGGTCAGACTCAAGTAACATAATTGAACAACGCTTATCCAACATAGTGTGGCTGGATAAGTTTCTTTTTTAGACATGAAATGAGGAACACTTAATATCTGATTATTACTCACTCACATCTTGTGTCCTGCTTGTTTCTAAACATTTAGAAATTCTCATGAGGTGATATGTGTATAACTTGATAACTGGCTTCTGTAAATTGCATATAGGTGCTTATCTATAAACTGAAACCATATCTGTAATTCCATTTCCATTGGTCAACTAATTTTTAAAGTTATTATTTAGCTTTTTGAGCACAAAACATAGCGCATGAGCATAGGGCATTGTACTGTAATCTTGTATGTACGTTCAATTTTAATTGCCTCTTTTATGCTTTGTTAATATTTCTGTGAACAATATCGATGGAAGCTTTTGATTCGATTGGCTATATTTGTAGGTCGAACTAAATAATCTTTCAGAACAAAAATTGATAGTTTAAGGTGAGAAAAAGTAGATATCGTTAAACTTTAGTTCTTTTTTTTTTTGTTTCTCCAGGGCAATAAGACAAACATTAGTTGCGTCAGTAACAGTGTTGGAGCTGTATCAAAATCTGAAAATGGCAGGTCGTTATCGTCCAGTTTTCGTGGAACAAGCCCAACCAGCACCTTATCATCAACATGTGATGATGCTGAGTCTGGTATTGTTCTCTTTCTCTGTCATCTTATAACCACGTAGTGCTGAGTCAACTTAGAATTAGATATTGTAAATACTTTGCATCTTGTTTCTCGACCAAAACTGATAACCTATTTCAGGGGGTTATCACCAAGCACATTCCAGGCTTAATTCTTATCCAGAGTCTCCACTGACTGAAGATAGTCATTCTACCCAGTCAAGCTCTTGTACTCAGCTTTTTAGTCCAGGTATCCATAATGTTTTCACATCCTTATTTTTGATAAGTTTCTACCCTGAATTACGTGTCACATTCAAGTGTTGGTCTAAGAGTTGGAGATATTAGTGGTGTAGTCATATATCTGCAATTCAAGAGTCAGATGGTTTGGGTTCATGGAAAGTTCTTGGAAACCCCACCATAGGCATAATACTATATTGCAAGAGTGTCATCATTACAATTTTGTACTTTCTAAACTAAGTTAAGATTATGTGGCTATTTTCAACAGGAGAGGCTGCTTATAAACAGGGATCTGGGTGTTTTCTGCCTGTCCGTGCCAAATGCCAGACACCAAACAATGAGGCAAGGCCATTTTACACATACCCTGAGCAGGAAGAGCAGTCATTGGAAAGAAACATTCAGATGTTCCCTTCCAATGAAGAAACTGACATTGCCACGAACCCAAATCTGGAGAATGGTATGACAACCATTGGAAATGGAAACTACTCTCTCATCATGAAAAAGCCTCTGGGTAGCTTGCGTACAGATGAAACCTTGAAGAAAGTGGACAGCTTCTCCAGTTGGATTGCTAATGAACTTGGAGAAGTTGATGAATTAGACATGCAACCAAGTGATGCAATTTTATGGAATACTATGGGAAGTGAGTATGAACACAATATGGCAGCTCAACTGCACATGGACACACACATGCTGAACCCTTCTATATCCTTGGATCAAATTTTTAGTATTAGTGATTTTTTGCCAAACTGGGCTTATTCAAATCTGGAGACCAAGGTACTTAATCTTAATCTCTAACTTTGGTCTGAGGGTATGAATTTTCATTTAGCAAGTATGAGCATTTCTATTCTATCCGCAGAATAATATGTTGAGAGTGATTATGCCTGGCTGCTTTAGATGTGTTGTAGTCCAGTAAATTATCTTTAATCAGTCCAAGATTGACTAATTTAATTTATGCTTTTTCCCATGTGATTCTCTCTTGAAATAAGTTCCAAATTCATGAGCTCCCATGTTTATCAATTTGACACACGAAACTCACCGTTAACATATTTCATGTTCTCCTACTTGATCAACATTCCTAGTTGAAGGTTGAACTAACAATATCTTTTCTATTGTTAATCAGGTCCTTATCTCTGGCATATTCCTCAAGAGTGAGCAAGAGCTGGCTAAATACAGATGGTCAGTTATGTTTGGAGAAGTGGAGGTTCCCGCTGAGGTTTTGATGGATGGAATTCTTAGTTGCTGTGCTCCACGGCACATTCCTGGAGTTGTCCCTTTCTATGTTACTTGTTCCAACAGGTTGGCTTGCAGCGAGCTAAGAGAATTTGAATATAGGTCTGGGCCGGAGAAAAATATCAGTTCTCTTGATGTAAATGGATATATTGGAATTCTAATGCATCTATATCAAAGATTTGAGATGATATTGTGTCTGGAACCAGTTGGAAGCCCTCTATCTGCTAGGAATGACTTTGAAAAACAAAGTGTGATCAATAAAATTGTTTCCTTAATAGAGGAGGACAATAGCCAGGATGCAAAACTGGCTTCAGAAAGTAACACATTATGTGGAAAGGTGATCGGAGAGCAACTTCTGCAAAAGCAGCTGAAAGAGAAATTTTACTCTTGGCTTCTCCTCGGAGTGACTTCAGATGGGAAGGGCCTTATGATTATCGACAAATGGGGTCAAAGTGTGTTGCACTTGGCTGCTGCTCTTGGTTTTAATTGGGCTTTCCAGCCAATTATAGAATCGGGAGTTAGTATAGATTTTCGTGATGTGAATGGTTGGACTGCGCTTCATTGGGCTGCATTTTATGGAAGGTACACCTTGAACTTGGCTATGTGTTTTAGAAACATCTCAAAGGCCAAATTCTAGCAACTAGTGTATTAATATATTTATTGTATACTTGATAGTTGTTGATCTAGACTCTTCTCTCTGGATTATGTAAGTAGAATTTTAGTTAATTGACATTTCACATTTTTTTTTAAGAAAAGAAAGTTTTCTTCGATGCCCACAATTCTACTGGGGAGAAATAAAAAATGTCCACTAAAAACCCAGATGTGTCAAACAAGTTTACCGATAACACAGATTTCGTGGTTGTTAGACGAAGAAAGTATTGTGTTTGCTTTACATTAACATCTTGTTCCTTTTTCACAGAGAGGAAACAGTTGCTGTGCTTGTTTCTCTTGGTGCAGCCCCTGGAGCACTTACAGATCCATCAACTGAATATCCACAAGGCAGGACTCCTTCAGACCTCTCGTATTCCAGTGGGCACAAGGGCATTTCTGGTTTCCTGGGAGAGACTTTCCTTACCACCCATCTATCCACTCTTACATTGAACGATGGTGATACCACAGAAGAGTCTGGACTAGAAGCAATACAGACAGTCACAGCACGTTTAGCTGTACCTACAACTGGAGAGGATGTGCCAGAAACTCTCTCACTGAAGGACTCGATAGCTGCAGTCTGTAATGCCACACAAGCAGCAGCACGCATTCACCAGATTTTTCGCATTCAGTCGTTTCAGAGGAAGCAGCTTCTTATCGAACAGGAATCTGGCGAATGGCTGGATTCGGATAAGCAAGCTATTTCGCTTCTTGCTGCTAAAACATCCAGATTGGGCCAATCAGGCGGTACTGCGAATGCTGCCGCCTTAAGCATTCAGAAAAAGTATCGAGGTTGGAAAAGGCGGAAGGAATTTCTGCTGATCCGACAAAAGATTGTCAAAATTCAGGTGCTTTACAAGTTAAACATTTTGATACTTGTAGTCATAAAATTAAGTGATAATTTAACTACCCTTTAGGGTTGGCTTGATTACAGAAAAACCTGGTTAACTTGGATAGTTGTGGAAACCACCTTAAACATTTTACACCAATTGTGTCAGTGGAGCCAATGGAAGTCCTTAACTTCAATATATATATATATATATATATATATATATATATATATATATATATAT